ATTATAATATCTTACAAATTTTAGGAATTTAAAAAACATTTAAATTAAGTCAAAGATAGTTGGAATGTATTTTTAACTTATCACAAATGTTGAGCACATAAAGTCATTCTTTAAAGATACTCTCTTATCCTAAAGTATAATACCTTCTCTTTGAACTTATGTATGTAATAGAAATAAATAAAAGACGCTTATGAGTACATATGTGTATACTCTCTCTCTCTCACCCTTTAAAAACTCCATTTGATAGTCCCAAGAATCATTCTTACTATTTATGGCAGGAACACTTATTTGATATGTTGACCTTTCCACCAGTTTTATTTTATACATTTGAACTTTTCAAACCATTGCCTGAGTTTTGGATTCATTTTTGTGGACAGGTAGGCAACCAAAAATATCATTCCTATCCAATTTGAAAGGGTGCAGACTCATTTATTTTTTAATTCTTTTACCAAATATTTTTTGTGTGGCACTCTCAATTTCAGTAATGCATTTCCAGATACAAATTAACTAGGTTGACAAAATTCAGAGCTTTTTCTGGACATCCATATACCAAATAGTGGCTTCCCCCACTATCCCAGCAGCCACCTCCCGTTCCCATACATAAATGGCAGCCAGCAATGGCTAGAAACAAAGAACTCTCTCCCAGTCCCTGAATACAGTGACATTCATTCTGAGAGAAGCTGGGGCAGCTTTTTGAAAGCCAACTTCTTCAGCTCGACAATAACACACAATGAGTTATTGACTTGTTTATATATGGAGCTCTTTTCAGTAACTAACTCTGACTCCCACAGTCTGGACAAATGATTGATTTCGTGGTTAGAAAAAGAGAAAGCTCTTGCGCTAAACTCTGTAGTGCAAACTACTTCTTCCCCATTTGTTCTGTAACTGAATAGGACCTTATTAAAATGCACTTTCCAAAAAAATACCTGCAGCTGGCCTTTATAACCATGTTTTGTATATATAAATAAGTAATTTGTCCCAGTCTTTTGTATATTAACAAACCGTTGGGAAACTTGTCAATATATATGAAGGCTGATTATCGTGTTGTTTCTGCTAAAACAGTATTATCTATATTAACCTGCATGTAAAATATGGATCAAATATTAATAAGATCAATTAATGTATTGATCTAATGAAAACCTTAGAATTTTGATATTAATAGATTCAGTTTTCTTGTTAGGTCATGTTGATTTATTAGCACATTTTATGTAACACATTTCATATACTTCACATTTGAATATCATTAACTATTCTTCTGAATACAGAGAAAACAACATGCAGAACTACAGTGCAGAGCAATGAGAGTTTGGTTGGACTAAAAGGCTTTTCCCCCTTTGGCTAGTGCCTATCTGGAATATCAATATGAATTAGGTAGACAGAACACACTAGCTGGTTTGAATTACTATACCCTTTCTAAAGATATTAATAATTGAACTCTAGTGTTACTATAAAACTTTCTCCTATAAAATAGATTTTTAAAAATCTTAATATGTTGTTAAAATTTTTACTCAATCTATATGATTTTTATAAGTACATTTAAAAATATATTGGGGGGAGTTAAAAAGAAAATCCATCAGCAGTTAGTGATGCGCTTAAGATGGGATCACTGCTGTTATGGCTGTATTTCTCCAGCAGGAGGTTTTGAGCCTGTTTTCCCCTCTAGGATGCGTGTAACAGAGCTTCCTGAGCCAGTAAACGCTTGAAGCATTCCTTGAAATTAAGAGCACTTTTAATTATGGTCACAAAGGGCTGCATGTTTTAAAAAGAACTATATATTACTGAACTATGACCACTTAGGGCTTTGGAGAGACCACAATGCCTGAAACCTTAGTTCTGAGTAAAATCAATACAGTTTGGAAGGTAACAACCAATGGAAATTGTTTCATTGGACTCTATTACTTCAGGTACACCTTTGTGGATTTTTTTCCCTTAGTTTCTAAATAAACTGTTTGATGTGAATTTATTCCTTTTTATCTTCTGTTTATTTAACCAGACCATTTTCCTGAAGCAATTTTGCTCAGTTTTCTTTGACAGAGCCATTATGTTTCTTGTTTCTTCCATTTTGGATACTGTTCTTGCCCAGTCTCTTGATTGTTCTATTCTGGTTCCCATTAGTATTGAATGAACCCAAATTTAACCTAAGTATGTATGGCTAATGTTTGTTACAAGTTTTAAAAATCTTAGCAAGGCCTTTTGTCGATTTAAAAATCAGCAAAAATAATGAATGAAACTTTCCTGTTTAGCTTGTCAGATTTTCATGTGCACAATGAATACTTGAAGATGCCTTCTTATATTTAAAAGGAACAAGATATACTTGGAACCAAGTGACTTAATTTCCTTCTCTCCTGTATGGTGGGGATTTGATTTTTCAGTTATATACAAATTTTAATCATCTTTCTGTTTCCAATTTTTAATTTTTGAAATCTCTACCTTTCTTAACACATGAAAAATCAACCTCAGAAATATCAAACCCATTGACAAAAAGTTATTTCATATATTTTAGATAAGAACAGTGAATCAAAAGTATACAGTTTTATTTTAATGAAGAAACAGGATATTCTTTCAAAGGTGACAGGAGAGAAGAATCCTACCATTGTTATCATTTCATGGGGTTTGAGGGAAAAATGCTGTCACCACTGCATATTATTAATACCTCAGGCTGAAAATGCCCTTTCTTAATTTAACTTTTTACTTTAAATAATTTTCTCTAAATGATTTCATTAAAATATGTCTTTTGGAATGTTTTATCTATTTCCAGAAAAGGCCCCATGTGTGTATCTTTATATTTTGGTGACCATTTATTTCTTAATATCTCACTGTACTTCCCTTTGGGACTATGCATGTGATGCTTTTCAGTAACATTGGTCTGTTTGTAGATTAGTTAGTGCTTCTTTAGAAGTTGAATATTAGAATGGAGGTGAGTTTTCCCAAATGCAGTGCTTTCAAACGTAAAGAATTCCCACCTTTTAAATAAAAAGTTCCTTGGCAGCAGTTTTAAATGTCCTGGCCCGGAAAACTCATTAGAATCGGCATCACCTGCTGTGGCACCAAAGAGTTTCAGTGCTCTGTTTTTGTTTTGTTTTGCTTCCCTTTAAAAATGACCTGCTTTGCACAAGGTCAGGAGTTTGAGACCAGCCTAAGTAACATGATGACACCCTGTCTCCATCAAAAATACAAAAAAATTAGCTGGTCATGGTGACATGCACCTGTAATCCCAGCTACTCAGGAAGCTGAGGCAGGAGAATCGCTTGAGCCCGGAGGTGAAGGTTGCAGTGAGCCAAGATTGCACCATTGCACTCCAACCTGGGTGATAGAGTGAGACTCCATCTCAAAAAAAAAAAAAAAAAAAAAATCTGCTCTGAAAATTTTTGCATTTGTAAAGAATAGATGAACATCGTAAATATTCTCCACTCCCTCTCTTCTACAACCTCTCTCCCCCAGTCCCTCTCTTCTACTTCTTTAATTTATTTCATAAATAAAATACTTATGATCTGGCCCTTTTCTCTAGAGATGAGAACTCCCTTGTTAAAATGAACAGACACTTGAGACCAATAGGCTGTGCCAGGATTCACACATAGGCTTCCATGTGTGGAAGTTGAGCTTGATATTTAAGTTTTCTTAGTATTATAGTTTTATTTATTTATTTTTTATCATTTAACAACAGTAACAAATATATTCCTTGGAATAGTTTCACATAATGATTTTTTAAAAACTCTTTATCACTGATTCTCAATCTAGGGCAAGTGGGGGGGATTGGCAAACCACTGCTTGCTGTCCAAATTCAGCCTGCCATATGTTGTTATGGTTGTTTTTAAAAATTTTGTTGACGCATAGCCATATTGATATATATGTATATGTTTATTTATAGTCTATTTCATGCTACAATGGCAGAGTGGAGTAATTGCAACAGAGATGTAGATTGTATTCTCCCCCTGCCACCACAAAACCTAAAATATTCATGATCTGGCCCTTTACAGAAACATTTGTCAACTCCTTATCTAGGGTGATCATCAGAATCACCAAAAGATTCCTGGGCGTTTCCTCTCTACCAAAACAGAATCTCTGATATATTGAGCTGTGTTTCATATCATTGGATGAAGTATCTACAGTTTTAAAACTATGATTCTAGCATATATGCACATCTAGATTCAAGAGATCATATTTTTTAACTTCCCATCCTCTATTTTTTGCCAAATATGGGAGTAAGTCTTCAGGTAGGGTATGGATTAAAGATTCACGTTAAAAATTATTTTCCAGGTATGCAATTGAGAAGGCCTACTTAACAACACTAACAAAACAATATGTAAAAATATGTTCATTATTTGGTTTTACTCCAATGCCCTATAAGGTAATATGGTATGGCAAGTCCATTGCTAAAGAATTATTAAATAGTCCAATTCAGAGAGTTCTCTATCAGGCTCTTGTTCTCTTTCTATTAATGTCAGTCTGTTGAGCAATTATTATTTGGGAGTTTAACATCTTTCTTTTGTTGGAAAATAAGAATTTCATAAAAAACATTAAAATGTCATGTTTTGTATGAAAATAGCATTTGTTTCTACAAGGATTATTTACAAAGAAACAGAATGGGCCACATTCACTTTTTTATAACATGTGGGTTAGCAGCAGTAGTAGAAAACCTTTATCTAATTTTGTAAATGGAGCAGGTTCAAGGTAACTGTTCATGTATTTGGATACATGATCCTTTGTCATGAAATATTATGAATGATTTAGCATTATTCTAGACTACTGAACTGACACTTTTGATTTATATCCTTGACTTCTTATCCTGACATAACAGCACTCCCTACTTGTAACATAAGGTTTTAATAGGAATATTTACCTATTTTTTTAAGTTGCCATGTTCATTTTAATAAAATGCTTTAAAAAAGTACTCATCAGTGTCTAATATCTGCAGTTTAGGACTCTCTTGCCCTAAGTCATCTTTAGTAATCCTCAAAACAATAAAAGATTGAAAATAAAAGATTCAGTGTGTTAAATGTTTTAAATATAAAAATGAAAGTTAGAGTTTATCTTCATATATCAGCAAAATTAATATCAAATCACATTCATGATTATGCTTAACTAGTTATTTAAATAAATGTTGCTATTAGGTGTCAATAGATACCTGCTTTCATGCTATTTATTTATTTTTTCTAGTTGAACCTGGCCATGAATGAACAAAAGGAGAAAATTACAGAAAAAGTCATTCTTTCAATGACAGCAAAGGAACACCATAAAGAACAAGAAGAAGTAAGGAAATAACTGTAAACTGTATTTTAAAGCCACAATGAACACTAATTTTAAAATTAAGATAAATTTTACTTTTGGTCTTATAGTAAATCAACTCTTGTTAACTGGAAACAACTTATGATAGAAACAAACTGATCACAACTGGGTATCGTTTTATTGATAAAGACAGCATGAAAAAATACTGTATGCTTAAAAGAATAAATCAAATTATAATTTTCTGAAAAAAGTCTTATGAATATTTTCTTATAAATTTCCTCAATTAGTAAATTGTTACTACAACTTGAAATTGGAAATTATAAAACCTGCCAACATGGGAAAAAACCTTAAAATTTTGTTGAATTTTTGATAAATACCAAATCTTGCTGTTATATCTGGTTTTCTAAGAACAGAGTTATTGTTCTGAATTTTAGAAATGCTAACAAAGTCATATTTTATCCAGGAAAAACTATAGTTTACAAATGTTAAGCCTAAGTGAGCTAATCAGAAGATAATGTAGCCAATATTGTAATGAAGAACAATATTATTATTAAAGCAAACCTTCTTTTCTTCAAAGCTCATGCTGTGAAGTTGACAGCATATTCCATAAATGAAGTAATACAAAATTGGCATTAGAAAATGATTTTCATGTTGTTTCCTGGAATGCAAAAGCATTTAATCTTTCTAAGGAAAGAATGTGAATTTTCTAGTTTCCCTGTACTACTGTCAGTAAAAATCCAAAGTAACTTCAGAAATAAGATAATTTGAATATTTAAAAATAAACTTTTCATATATATCTCTTGTTATTTTGGTAAAGAAATGGATTCAAGCTTCAGGGTTTTAATATTTCTTATCATTATGATTACGTCTTTCTTACTAACCATGTCTTTTGTAATAGATGAAAAAGTAAAATGCACCAAATTTTCCTGTGTAAATTCTAGCTTACATTAGAGACCATTTTAGTATTGGGGACATATTTGTCTGGTATTAAAGACTATATTGTAAAAATTGATTAGCTATCTCAGTAGATTATATTTCATAAGAAAAAATAAAGTTAAACTATTTCTAAAATATAATAAACAGCAATTATATAGATTTAAGTTATAGTTCTGACTCATTCTCCTGAATATTAGCAAGTTACAAGTCTAGGTTGTTAGTTATAAATTTGAAAAATATCATTCTCTATGTGTTTGAAAAATGTTTTACCAGAATTGGAGAATTTACTTACATTTTCACGGTAAGTTAAAAATGAATCTACCATGTATTTTGTAAACTTTGGAAAATGCAAAGTCTCTCTAGATTAATTAGTATAATTAAAATTATATCTATAGCATACCAATTATTATTAGAGATTAAAGAGAAAATAATCTAAAAGAATTACAGATTTTTTCTTCCTTTTAAACACTGTAATTATTTTACCTTTTGATATTTCATGCAAAATTATAATTTCAATGGACTAAAAACTTGAAGTGGCCTTGGAAAATGATCAGTTTACCAAATATGTAATTTTAAATCTTACCTTGTTAGCAACATTGGAAATGGAAATTATCTATTCTGGAAAATCTAATGGAAATTATGTTTATTTGGTGTTTCTTCTTTGTTATCATCATCTTTATGTTTATTTAGCACTATATATTTCAGTGTTCTTCCTATACAATGCCTTATTTAGTCATATATTTGCTTTATCTGCTCTGGCTCAGAAAGTCTTTTGTTTACTTCAAAAATCAAATAACGAGTGGAATACATACTCATTTATGTGTATGTTTATGTGTGTATATACATATGATACTTTCTAAATATATTCTATAGCCTCTGAGGATAGTTTCTATGTGATTATTTGGAAAGTGATTATATTAACCTGAATGTGTAAGTTCTAATTTTTGGTTAGAAAAAAATCTAAGACGCTTAGAAAAGTCCTTGTTACCAGTATCATAGCTCTCTTGCCAGGTGAGTTATGAAGGCATTTAAAATGACACCATTTTCAGTTGTTTCTTACCCCATGAGTGGATGGGGAATTTAGAACATTGAATAGCCTAAAAAACTTTTGATTAGAAAGAGTCTAAAACTTTAAGGCTAAAATATCAAGTCTAATCAACATTCAAAAAAGGGAAATTCTGATGGAAAACAGAAAGGAAAAATTTGGGTGTGAAATTACTTCAATATTTTTCCTATGATTTTTATACAAATACTACATTCCTAGACAATTCTCAAAACCCAAACTAAACATCATAAAATCTGAGCTTTAGTCCCTCTTCTACTGCCTGCAGCTTTATCTTAAAATCTTGTTTTATTTCACATAATTTTTCCACATGAAATTTGAAAGTAACAATAATATATGCATCATAAAACCACTTTTGAGGTGATGACATACGTTAAAGTACATTAAGTTTTTTTTTTTTTTTTTTTTTTTTTTTTTTAGAAATACTATCTCTCTCTGTTACCTATACTGGAATGCAGCAGTGTGATCATCACTACCGCAGCCTTGAAGTCCTGGGTTTAAGTGAGCCTCTTGTTTCAGCCTCCTGAGTAGCTGAGACTTTAGGCATATACCACCAGGCTGAGCTCGTTTTAAATTTTTTTTGTAGAGATAGGGTCTTGCTATGTTGCCCAGGCTGGCCTTGAACTCCTGGCCTCAAGTGATCTCCTCACCTTGGCTTCCCAAAGTGCTGGGATTACAGAGGTGAGTCACTGTGCCCAGCCACATTAAGTATTTTGGAAATTTCTATATGGCTTATTATTGTCAATATAAAAGTGCACCATTCTATGTCTCTACAATGTAAGTAAAGATGAGATTAAATTTGTAAGAATGCTATTAGAAGAAATGGCTATAAGAGAAAATGGAGACCTCAGTGGTTAAGGCTGAGTAATCTGCAGACTGAAATGCAGGCCCACCCCAAGTGAGAGAGGAAAGGAAGGTTGGGTGGAAACATCCTGAACCACTGTGCAATCTAAAGGTTTGGCAAAACTATTGGTGTGTTTTTGAGCCAAACTTGGCCATCAGAGGAGTCCTGTGACTCAGGGATAGACTTGCCTTAGTATCCTCAGACTAACCTGCTGTTGGATTTCAGAGCACAGTCGATGGGACCTATGGTCACTTATGCTCCTGTAGTTAGAGGTCTGTGAGACACAGTCTCATAGCTGTCCCCATAGGTATAGTTGGCATCATCTTTGTTGCCATCAACATAGCCCCATTGCCAGAAGAGTTATGAAGACATTGAAGACTTCTATTTTCAATTGTACCTTCCCCCATGAATGAATGGGGATGTTAGATTGTTGAACAGGCCTAAAAGCAGCACACAAGGGACCTCTGGCTGAAAATAGGTTAGATCTACCTCCAAAATGTTTCCCACCTAAGAAGGGTTCCAGGAAGCTATTAAAAATTTGGTAGTATTTGGGCTGGGCACGGTGACTCATGCCTGTAATCTCAGCACTTTGGGAGGCTGAGGCGGGCAGATCACTTGAGGCCAGGGATTTGAGACCAGCCTGGCCAACATGGCGAAACCCCGTATTTACTAAAAATACAAAAATTAGCTGGCCATGGTGGTGCACGCCTGTATTCCCAGCTACTGGGAAGGCTGAGGCAAGAGAATCGCTTGAACCTGGGAGGCAGATGTTGCAGTGAGCTGAGTTCATGCCACTGTACTCCATTCTGGGCCACAGAGTGAGACTCTGGGTCAAAAACAAACAAAAAGCAAAAAAAAAAAAAAAAAAAAAAAATGAAAACAAAAAAAACAAAAATTTGGTAGCATTTAAAGTGCTGGCAACAAGAGGTGCTACGCACTTCAGATTTCCTGGTTACTTACACCCACTGCAACTTCCAAAGCAAGAAATAGTTCACTTTGCTCTCAGCCTTCCATGTCTTTTCCAATCTTCATTCAACAAATCAGGGTTATGTTTCCTTCTTAGCCTCTAAAACACTGTATTGTTGGTTTTGAAACCAATAAGAGATTTTAGGCTGTTGAAAGTACTCATTTTATTTCCTTGCCTCCTTCCTGGTTCATCTTAAATGTGTTGTTAATTGGAAAGTTTTTGGATCTTAAATTGAAGCGCTGACCTGGCTTTGAGACCATGCCGTGTGTTACATGCCTAGATGACGTTCCTAGCATAGAAGCCTCCACCCTTTGTACTGATTTCAAGTGACAGTTCTGTGCAAAGTGCTCTGGAGTTCTCTTTAATAACATGGGTGGATTCAAGCCCACACAGAATTCAGGCTGACAGCTGAACTCATCACTAGAAGAACCAGGAGCTCCTCAAAGAGTCATTAATAATAGCCAATGTACAGTATTCACAATGTATGGCTCAGAAATACACAGCTTCAACATGTATGCTTTTTAAAACTGATTATAAACAAAATAACACTTTGTTCTGACTATAAATCATCTTGAGAATTTAATTGAATTCAAAGGTTGCATGTGTACATCATACAAACATGACCAAACTGTCATACATGTGATACAAAAACCTATCTGTATGTTTATAGACATGTGAACATTTGTATTCTTTCAGAAGTTTGGTTTGTTTTCTCACTAGAAGATTCAATATTTTTTTGCTACCTTCTGCTCATTTGTCACTCTCCCAAATTCTGTACAAGTGTCACTTCCGTGCTGCATTTCCATGGAGAATGAAGGGTAGAATGTGTAGGCTTTCTGCTGCACAATGAGATGGTGCATTTTTTCAACATATGCATACGTAAGCCTTCTTTTGTGAATGGGACTGATAGGGTCAGATAATGTTTAAAGGGAAAGGCTTTATGTCTCTCAGGCCTCTATGTTTCCACATGGATGCTCCCACACACACATAGATTGAATTATGAACAGACCCATTAATGCTGGGATCACAAAAGGTCAAGTTTTGTCTTCTTTTGCCCCTATTCACATTGCCTTTGTAGAGAAAAAAAAGGATTTGCAAAAAAAAAAAAAAAGATTCATGATGAAGAATTTTAAAGAACATTTTCCCCCTTTTAGCAACATCTGTGATTTGGGGGAAATAATCATATTATGTAAAATAATTCAGAAGTATTATATTACCTATACTGATTTTAGTATATGAGTTTAGTATATGAGTATATATTACATATACTGATTTTAATATATGAGTTATTTCATATGTAGACTTGTCTTTTAGGATGACATGCTATCATAATAATAGAATAAAATGTAACAATTTGAGGATAAAAGACCTTATGAATATGTAAAGTAACATAAAGTTTGAGTAAAACTGAATGGAAACATTATCAAAATGTCAGTGGCAGGATTCTTGATATATGTTCTCCTGTGCTTATGATATATTAATCTTTGCTAGATACCTTGATAGTTTTAAGTTATTTTAAAAAATCGGGTGATAATTGATGTAATTATGTTTTACACATGTTAACCTGTTACCCTGGGGCCAATAAAAATAGTAGAGAAGGTCTTTGAAGCAACCAAAAGTCTATCCCAGATGAAATTTTTAAGACTTTAGCCAATAGCCCTTTAGAGTGCAAATGACATCACCAATTGTATGGTTGGTTGATTTTTGATGCCACATGAAATCCCCTATCAGTGAAAGGCTATGGATTGTGACAGTAAAACCAGTCATGTATAAAAATGCCCTCAAATCAGAGTCTGAGTTTCCTACCCTCCGCGCTTTTTTTTGGTGACTTGCTGTAGTACAAGATGCAGTATATGAAATTATAGAGAACATTATAATTGACTAGTGAAATACAATGTGTGCTACTTAGTAGACTTTCAAGATTATATCTTCCTGAATCATATGATGCTGGAGATGGATTCAGAGAGGACCAATATTTTTTGAAAATGGAGTCCTTCTATTTAGGGCCTTTGGTTTTGGGATTTTAATTTCATCAGAGAACCATATATGCAAGCCACTTGTCCTATATTGGTCTTTAGCATCAAGGATGTTATACACTATTACCCAATTTTTTTTTGAGGATAATACTGCTGGAGGGTAGTATGATGTGGTGGTGAAGATGAGGCTGAAAGCATTGACTAATACTGGATCATCCGTCATTTCCATATTTTAAATGTCACAACTTTCTTATAAGATTAACACTACTATGGAAAGCATAGAAATTCATTCCAAAAAGTAAAGAAAGAAGGATCACAAGAGAATCCTGTCACTGCATTTTATAGCCTATATATAATATCATTTTCTTTTTCTTCCGTCCTCATTTTCTGCAGTCACTTTATCCTTTTAGTTTCTTCCCGCCTCTTCTTTTCTTTTTCTTTTCATTAATTTTGTTTTCCTTATCTCATTTTCTCTTTTGGTTTCTCTTCGGATTCCTCCTGACCTCCCTGTATTGCCTCTGCCTTCCATTCCCATGATACCAAAGTTTTGTCCAAATTCCACTGGTGTGAGGGGGCTTCCTTATGAATAGATAGTAGAAATTTTTATAAACTCTCATTAAATTTACAGTTAAGGGCTGACTCTTAATAACCTACTATATAAATTATATAGGATTGTAGGGATTTAGTAGAACACAATATGTTTATCAGCTTTTGGTAAATTGTGCTGCATAAGTCAATGAGCCCAATATCTGAGTGACTTAAAACAAGTATTCATTTTTTGCTCACCTTACATGTTGGCTACGGGTTGTTTGTGGCTCTCACCAGTATGCTTTCTCAGTCTGGGATACAGCTAGAAGGAGCAGCTTCTATTGGGACAATATTGTTTTCATGGTGGGGTGGGGGTGGGAAGAGAACAATGTCAGAACTGCATAATGGTTCTCAAGGCTTCTGCTAAAAAGTGGCATATATTACTTCTGTTCATATTTCATTGGCTAAAACAAATCACATAGGAATTCTGATGTCACATATATATCACATATAATTCTAATAGAATTATTAGTAAATAATGAACAATAGACAGCTGACTTTGATTAAGTGCCACATAGTAATATCCAGGTACTAAGTGCTGGAAAGTCTGCAGGAGGAAGTGGGATTTCTGATGAGTGGACTTGGAGATAAGAGAGGAATGAGTTATAAAACTATAACCTAGGCATCATGGGACATACACTTTAATTTCAATGCCAATACTAATTATTTGAGTATCCTGGGCAAATTAACTTTTCTGCGACAGAATTTCCTCATTTGTGAGATCAGAGTGTTGGGTTAAACATTATCTAACTTATTATGATACTCTAGAAATGAAAGGGATGTGTGTATGTGTGTGTGTGATGGGGCAACGGGGCAGTGAGAAGAGACATTTGCTTAGAGGAGAGGGGTCTGATGCGAATATAAGCCATAAAGCCAGGTGGGGACCAGATTGTAAGAGGCCTTGGAATCTTGAATACCAAGCTTAAGAACCTGAGGGAGCTTAATAGGTGGTTTAATATACTTTTCAAGGTAGATTAATTTGGTGGAGGTGGCCTAATGGCATAAAGGGGAAGAGATGGGAACAGGGAGACCACTTAGTAGATCCAAACTGGAGAGGGGGATGAGAAGATTGATGGTATGAACCAAAGTATTACTTATAAGAAAGGAAAGAATGGATAGGAAATATACATATTTAGAAGAGGGATCTGCAAAATATAGCCCTGGGGATAAATGTCTAGCCCTGCAGCTTATTTTTTTTTAAATAAAGTTTTATTTGAACACAGCCATGTTCATTCATTTACATATTGTCTGTATCTGCTTTCCAAATGCAACTGTAGGGTTAAATAATTTTGACAGAGACCTTATGGCCTGCAAAGCCAAAAATATTTACTACATGGCTTTTTTTTTTCTTTTATTTGAGATGGAGTCTCGCTCTGTCACCCAGGCTGTAGTGCGGTGGTGCCATCTTGGTGTACTGCAACCTGAGCCCTCTGGGTTCAAGTGATTTTCCTGCCTCAGCCTCCTGAGTAGCTGGGATTACAGGTGCACACCATCATACTCGGCTAATTTTTGTGTTTTTAGTAGAGACACTTTCACCACATTGGTCAGGTTGGTCAGGTCTCGAATTCCTGACCTCATGATCTGCCTGTACGTGCCCTTTTTTAAAGTAAGTTTGCCAACCTTTTATTTAGAAGAAAGGATTATTTAAAGGGAGTAGACAATTTGTTGCATAGGGACAAATAAGAGAGATATGGGAAACAACAGCAAAATAGGAATCATTTTAACTTGTTTCTATGCATGTAATGCTTGCAAAGGTCTTGGTAAAAGTGAAGTGTAATTAAAATTTATATGTATGGAGATACATAAAAACTTGAACTAAATAGGTAGAGTAGGTAATACATATTCAAGTTATATCAGTAATAGTACAAACTGGCTTTCACTGATTTCCCTGAAAGCTCTGTAGAAGGGATAGAAATAATGGATTTAAAATCAGAATTAGAATATAGGCTGGGGCAAACACCATATTTTTAGCTGCTAGAGAAGTAGATGAGCTGTAAGTACATCAAAGACTCTTGGAGAAGGATTTCCCATTTTATCTGTGAACACTGAAATGAGCTATAGGATCTATACAGCAAATAGTTTGGAAGTTTTGTCTTCCTCATGTGAAATAATGGTAGGGATAGGAAAGATAGACCAAGAAACAAAAAGTTAAGATTTGATATGGTGAAAACACCTAGATTTTTAAAAAGAAACACTATAAAAATATACCGATGCATTGGGCACTTACTGTAGGTTAGACACTGTGCTCTTCATTTTTTATCTCATTTAATTATCAATATGTAAAGCCAGTGTTATTCTTCATTTGTGGACAAGGATTTTATTACCTGTGCAAAGTCTTCCAATCAGTAAGTGATGGAGCCAGGATTTTAACCCAAGTTTTCAACACCAATGCTCTATTCAAACTCATTCATAATTCTAAATGGGTCTAATTTGGTTACTTTTAAGAATCACAGATGAGGTAGATTTCTGTTCTTTATCTCTTTTGGTCACTACCATAATATCAACCAGTTTTTATGTAAGAATCCAGCCTAGTAGAGAGAATATGTTTACATAAATAGTGAAGAGTCAAACAATGATTATGATTCTTAATTTGTAAACTATATGGGTTAAAATGTTAACTACTGCTATTAATAATCCACCAGTAAAGTTCATATGTATGTCTTAAATATACCATATAGAAATCTAGAAACTTAAAATCAAGGTTACAGAATCCTTAGTCTTTGGTGTTTCTGGAAAAACTGTATGCTTTATTTTGACATTAATATATATTTAAAATATTTTCCAGAACAGAGCATTATCTTTGAAGTTATAGACATTTTGGAAAACTCTATCTATGAAATTAGGAAAAGAGTATTGGAATATTTAGGAGGAAGACAATAGATTAATTTTAAAGGTCAACAAAATGATAATGAATTATATATATATATATATATAATTTAAATGAAATACAAAATAAAATAAAATATTCTAAAAAGGAAGGTACATATAGTGACATGTGAAATGAAGTATTTGGTGGTAGGTTACATATATTGGATTATTTAAAGTCTTAGGAGGGTTTTAATTTGTTAAACAGTTTAAAAGTTATTTGCAAACTTGTCAAGTGTATATGTTTCTTTTCATATCCAGAGATATTTTTTCATTTAGCAATTGTAAAGGGCTACCTATCTCATATTACTAAAGTGAAAATGTTACACATTTTTTCATAAAAAAATTTGCAGATGTAGGAATCTATATTTCTTCCATTGTTTTTACTTGAGGATAGATCCATACTTAAATTCTTGTATTGAAGTCATTTTCCCCCCATCAAGCTATGTACTCAAAAATCTAATAGGTGTGACATCAACAATTACTTCTTGCTAACAACTCTTGTAATTTAACCCCTTCAGGTGAGCAGGCTGATTGATGAATTGCAGACAGCTATCAAAAGCAACAGAGGTCATCTCTCTAAACTTGGCCCCCAGTTACAGGCTGAGCAGGAGCAATTCTCCTCTTATGTCTACCAACACATTAAAAGCCTTCCAGCAAACACGCTTGTCCCAGGAGGCCTGCAGCTCAAGGTGGGTGTCATTCTGTGCCTCTCATTGGATTCAGCCAGAGCAGAAGCATTCTGCTCCATTTGAAGACCCTTATAACAATGCCACACAGCTTGAATTTCTTTTAATGTTGGCTTCCTCAAATTGGTAGTACTACAAGTCATAACATTATTATTCAGGAAATAGATTTTAAAAGAAAATACCTAGATACCTTTGAAATGTATATTTATAAGCTGTAATTAGTTTTTAAATCAGAAAAATAATTTTAATGAAGCAATTTAATCATGTGAACATTTGCATACTTTTCCAAGAAACAAATTTTTCACAGTGGTCATGGTATATTTCAGTTTCTAAAACCAACATTTGGAGAAATGGGCAAGCTTTAATAGTTGACAGACAGTGGCAATAGAAATTGAAGGTGAAAGGCCAGGTGACTGATTGATGTTCAAACTACATTTCCAAGGAAAAGGATCTGTATTGGATAAGTGTGACACATGTCTGAGTTCACTTGGTAAAATCAATACTTAAGAATATACTGGGAAAAAAGGTGAATTGGTTATTTGTCAGGACAAGATCGCTAAATGTTCTCCACTACTTTGCTATTGCATCTTTGAGAGAGATAAAGAATAACTCATACTTGGCTAAAGTGGTTTTAGTACGAAAAGCCTAGGGATTTTAAATACTTTTGTTTTTCATAGCAGACTATTCATGTTAAGTCTGTCAAGTTAACATTGTCCTATAATTTCATATCCTGCATTTCAAGAGATTGTAGTTAGTAAAATTTGAATTATTCAAAGTATGGCCTTTTTCTATTTAAGAAATCACTGTTACTGCAACTCGTCATTTCCTTTTGATTATTTTTATGGGTATGTGGTAATATTTGAAGTAAATTATATTTTGATCAACCCTCACCTCTGTGATTCCTCTTTCTTAATATAGTTTTATTCTGCAAGTAAGATTATATTTTCTATCTATAATGTTTCTTTTGATGACATTCCCATGTGTGTATTTTGAGTGAGAACATTACAGTGTAAAAACAGACTTTTTGGGAAATGTAATTCCATGTTAAACATAATAATTTATTTCTCATAGCCTGCTAGTCAGCTAAAGGATTAGAAAGTAATGTTCAAGACATCAAGGTCAAGGATTTCTATAATGCAGTAGCATTGTTCTTTTCCAGGTTTTTGACTTGATTACAAATCTGTTCAGCAATTTTGCAAAGTACTTGCTATTGATTAGGAGAGAAACCAGGTGAGGGAGAGCAGTTGTTTTCTAGAAGGATGCAGCTGCTAAGAAAAAAATAAAAAGGGAAAGGGGAGTATAGTTGCCTTAATGGCATTCATCCCCCTCATTTGAATCAGCAACTATTCATATGAACTGTAGTGTAACCTGGAAAAAAAGTATTGTTTTTTTCTCACAAGTTCACTGCTTATTTCTGAAGAATTTCTATTGCTTATACATATTAGCACATGGGTTGGAGAGCAAATATTTAACCTTAGGATTGGAATTGTTACTGTCATGTATACTCCCTTTTTTCATTTTATTTTTATCTTTAATTATTATTATTTTTTAAGTTCTGGGCTACATGTGCAGAATGTGCAGGTTTGCTACATAAGTAAACATGCGCCATGGTGGTTTGCTGCACTTATCGACCCATCACTTAGGTATGAAGACCAACATGCATTAGCTCTTTTCCCTAATGCTCTACCCCCATCCACCCTTCCCTGATGGGCCCCATTGTGTGTTGTTCCCCTTCCTATGTCCATGTGTTCTCATTGTTCAGCTCTCACTTATAACTGAGAATATGCAGTGTTTGGTTCTCTGTTCCTCAGTTTGCTGAGGATAATGGCATCCAGCTTCATCCATATGCCTTCAATGGACATGATCTCTTTCCTTTTAATGGCTGCCTAGTATTCCATGGTATATATGTACCACATTTTCCTTATCCAGTCTATCACTGGTGTGCATTTGGGTTGATTCCATGTCTTTGCTATTGTAAATAGCGTTGCAATAAACATACACATACTTGTATCTTTATAACAGAATTATTTATATTCCTTCAGGTATATACCCAGAATGGGATGCTGGATCAAATGGTATTTCCAGTTCTAAATCCTTGAGTAATCACCACACTGTCTTCCACAATGGTTGAACTAATTTACATTCCCACCAACAGTGTAAAAGTGTTCCTATTTCTTTGCAACCTTGCCAGCATCTGTTTTTTTCTTTATTTTAATAATTGCCATTCTGACTGGTGTGTCACTGTGGTTTTGATTTGCCTTTCTCTAATGATCAGTGATGTTGAGCTTTTTTCATATGTCAGATGGATTGCAAAACTTTTCTCCCATTCTGTAGGTTGTCTGGTGTGCTGATGATTGTTTCTTTTTCTGTGCAGAAGCTCTTTAGTTTAATTGGATCTCATTTGTCAATTTTTGCTTTTGTTGCAACTGCTTTTGGTGACTTCATCATAAAATCTGTGCCCATGCCAGTATCCTGCTTGGTATTGCCTAGATTTTTTCTAGGGTTTTTATAGTTTTGAGTTTTATATTTAAGTCTTTAATTCATCTGAATTAATTTTTGTATAAGGTGTAAGGAAGGGATCCAGTTTTATTTCCTTATATGGTTAGCCAGTTCTCACAGTGTAGCAGCACAAGCTGCAGATGAAACCTCCTGGACACCAGATTTAAAGAAGGAAGTGGCTTTATTTGGCTGGGTGCATTGGCAGACTTGCATCTCAAGAACCGAGCTCATGGACCAAGAAAATCCTAGCCCTTTTAAAGGCTTACAGTTCCAGAAAGTATAAGTGAGAGGGTCGTGATCAATGAGTAGGTGTGGGGTACATGACCAGGTGGGGGTTTGAGCAAAATCGATAGAGAACAATAGAGAGCATTTCTCCATAGTATGCCTGGGATATATAGCTAGGAGTGCAATTAAGGGTGGTACCTAGTCTGCCAGCCTTTACTTTAAGAGTACAACTCTTAAATGGCCTTTATGTTTAGTTAACTACTACTTGTGTTATGCTTATTATTTAAACTATGCTCTGTTCTATTTTATTTCATTTTTGTTTTTCTTCCACAGCAGCACCATTTATTGAATAGGGAATCTTTTCCCCATTGCTTGATCAAGTTTGTCAAAGATCAGATAGTTGTAGGTTTATGGCCATATTTCTGGGTTCTCTATTCTGTTCCGGTGATCTCCATGTCTGTTCTTGTACCAGTACTATGCTGTTTTGGTTACTGTAGCCTTGTAGTATAGTTTGAAGTTGGGTAGTGTGATGCGTGCAGCTTTCTTCTTTTTGCTTAGGATTGTCTTGACCATACAATTTTTTTTGGTTGCATATGAATTTTAAAATAGTTTGTCTAATTCTGTGAAGAATGTCAATGGTAATTTAATAGGAATAGAATTGAATGTATAAATTGCTTTGTGGAATATGGCTGATTCAACATATGTAAATCATTAAACATAATTCATCACATAAACAGAACTAAAGACAGAAACCACATGATTATCTCAAAAGACGCAGAAAATACCTTCGATAAAGTTCAACATACTTTCATGTTAAGAACTCTTAATAAACTATGTATTGAAGGGACATACCTCAAAATAATAAGAGCCAGTTATGACAAACCCATAGCCAATATCATACTGAATGAGCAAAAGCTGGAAGCATTTGCCTTGAAAACTGGTGCAAGACAAGGATGCCTTCTCTCACTACTCTTATTTACTCCTTTTTAATGTGCTTTAAAATACTTTCCATACTGGCAAACAAAGGAGAAAATTTACCTATGCAAAGAAGCCATGTTGTTGTGTTTGTTTAGATTCACTATGCTGTCTAGCAAAGTAGCCACTAGTCACATATGGCTATTTACATTTAAATTTTAATTAATTAAAATAAATTATTTTTCTAGTGGTTTGCCAGGGACTTCCCTTATTTTAGTACTAAAAAGCCTGCATCCAGCAAACCAAGATGGTTGGTCACCCTGGTCTTTTCTCCAGAATTCTTTCTTCCACATCCCAGGCATTCTTTTTATGATTTTTCCCCCCATAAATTACTCAGCTCCATTTGCTTCTGCTTCCTCTCTCCTCAGGTTTTTACTTTGTAACATCTGGTTTCTCTTAGAAATTAAGTTTCTCTTCCACATCTCAAGAAACCTGGATATCAGCCCCATCCTTAGGCTTAGAAAAATGATTTTCAATACTGGCTGCATGTTAGAATCTTCCGGAGTATTTGTTTGATTGTTTGTTTGTTTGTTTCTAAAGGTACCAGTGTTCCCACCCACAGATATTTTGACTTAATTGGTTTCCTGTGCTAAGACCAACTTCTACCAGCTTGCAGGCTCTAATTGTTAAGTTGTCAGGAATTTTGTAAGCCAGCAATTGTTTTATATAGCCATTATTTATAAATTATATAAACTTACAATGAAACAGGTCATACACTTCACTTCCTCATTTTTAAATTAGATTTTACTGTGACCTATTCTCTTGAAGTTATTTATGCCTATTGTGTTAGTTTAGTATAAACACTATATAATGGTGTGTGCTACCATGCATTTCTTCCTAAGTTTATTTTCAGTGATGGCTTATTGTGTCTGAAAATTGGCCATAGTCAAGAGTATTCATACAATAGAAATTGGCAAATACTGTACATGAGGGCTTGATTTAATGTCTTATTGATTGTCTACATGAGGGAGTTGAAATCCCACATACTATGGGCCAAATCTGCCTGTTTATTTTTTTTGTAAATAAATTTTTACTGGAATATAGCCCTACCTATTTGTTTTGTATTGTGTGTGGCTGCTTTCATATTACCATGGCAGAGTGGAGACCATACGACTTGAAAAGCCTAAAGTATTTACTGTTTGGCCCTTTAAAGAAAAGTTTGTTGATCTGTGGTCTAGATTTAATTATGTGACAGAAAATATTCACAATGCACATGAAATTCAAAAGCGCAAAATTTGTGTTACATTGTGAGTAGCACAAAAATTGAAATATTCTTTCATTATCTAATTCTGAAAAAAACTTGCTGATGTCATTAACAAGAGCAGTCCTACATATGTCTTCTTTGTTTCATTTTTGTCTTATTAACATGGATGAAAATATTAATCAACATTCAGGTCAGAACCACAGTCATTTCTCAGTTGGAATCATAGGATGGATGTGGATACAAGACTTG